AATATGTATATTTGTGTTATAGAACCTAGAAACAGCTGTAAAATATTAGACATTTCAAACTAAAATAACCAAAAATTCAAAATCAATATTTCTTTACGTTGTGTGCCCACATTCACTTAAAAATATAAAAAACGTATTTATTTTACTAACAAATAATTTTTATATAATTAATTTCAACTCCAGCCGGCTATATTACCTAATATAGCCTTATTTTAAATAAATTCCCGACAAATCAACTTATTTCCAACCACATCTCTTTCGCTTTTTCCACACAATTATTTTCGACCACATAGAACTGGCATGGGATCAGCCTTCGACAAATTGCCAAGAGTTCAAAAACTGGACTGATAATGAACGCTGGTCAACACAGACGCCTTGGAGCAAATTGGACACATTGGCGATATCGTTGCTGCGCAAAGTTTTGGCCACAAATCCTACATACCGACTGACACTAGAGAAGATACTCGACCACAAATGGTGTAACATGCAATTCAATGAGAATGGTAAGTACAAAATGAGCTTTTGTAATACAAGTTTTTGAAAAATTAAAAGCTCTAATATAAAATACTTTTATACCATATATAATGTTAAAAATGGAAAGTGCGCATTTTAGTGTTTAAAAAAGCTTGGTAAAGCAAGCTTAAAGCTGTGAAGCTTCTGATACAGAAAGCTGCAACGTTCTGTAAAAACATGAGCCCTTTGTCCAGGTACTTAGTGACTCTCAAGTAGGCATTGCCATTTAACGCTGAGGGTTATTTTGTGCCTAAGCAAAAGTTTCTGTAATAACTACAACGAATAGGACGTTAAAATAACAGCTATGTGCAAAAAGTGAAGTTGAAGGCAACTTGCCGTAAAAAAGCTTTGGAAGTTAACGCCATCGAAAGCAAATCTTGGTGACAGCTAATAAACTGCGAAAATGTTTAATATTTAAAAATTGTTTTTTCTGAAGTATAAATAACAAAATCATGTAACGTGCTTAAAAAGCTCTTTTAATAATTTTCTTCATTATAAATTCTTTCGAACAGTTTGCTAAAGCCAATGCGAGCTTTCAACTTTTATGTTGCTTAACCGCGCTCTGTCCACTAAAAGCTTTCTATTTAGCTTACAATTAGTAAGGCGACAAAATAAGTTTTTTTTTTTAAGATATACGAAAGCTTAATTTTCATGTCTGTCGCCAACTGGCAGCTTTTCATCGCTTTGGCGCTTTAGCTGTATGATAGATTTGACTACTTCATAAAGCTAGATTACCAAAGCATTGAAGAGTCTGCTTCAACTTCTTTGAAATGCAAGAGAAATTAATGAAAAATAATACCGCTAAAGTGTAGCTGATGGTAAAATAATGTACGTGTTGGGTTGAAAAAATAATTAATATAAATAAAAATAATTGTTTTATTAATA